GTGGTTAAGTAAATGCCCCCAAATTTATTGGGATCGTTCATATTTTTTTCTTCCTTTAAACAACAAAGTTTCTTTAAAATTAAGTTTTCCTTTTATAATTATAAAGTTAGTATGTTCTCTTAGAGAATAATGTTAAGAATGTAATCTCCAGGAACTCTGTCACATCAAATCTCTCTGAGCTCCAAATGAAAACCCAACCATAATCAACTACCATTGGTATTTTAGTACTTTGAGGTACTTTTCTCATTATTTCTCCCATAGCTTCTCTTTCCATGTAAGACTTAAATAATCTCATGCTAGCAGTGTCTTTCATAGCATTAATTTTAATCACCTCATGGTGTCCTGCCACGTAGATTTACCTAGGGTTGAAAATTCACTTACTAATTGTCTTCATTTTGAAGAACTAATTGTTCTTATTCTGTTTGACATTTAGTTATTTCCTAATGTTTAGTGTTATTGTATTTTTAATTGATTTGTAATAAATACTCTACTTACTTTCTAATATTGTCTGAATTTTATATTACACTATAGAAGACATGAATGTTTTATGAAGGTACACACAATATATAAGATGTATGATAAATATAAGTTTTTTTTTCAGTTATGAGGCTCAAACTCAGGACCTGGGCTCCGTTCCTGAGCTCTTTTGCTCAAGGCTAGTGCTCTACTACTTGAGCCACAGCACCACTTCCACTGATTAACTGAGTGGTTAATTGGAGATAAGAGTTTCACAGGGACTTTTCAGCCTCAGCTGGCTTTGAGCTGTTATCCTCAGATCTCAACCTCCTGAGTAGCTGGGATTATAGGCATGAGCCACCAGCACCAGGCTCAAATATAAAATTTTTATCCAATTGCTTTTCAAAACTCTGGATCAATTTTCAACATTATATTGCCATTGCATCTCCCTCCAGCAGCATAGAACACTATGGATTCTTAGATGATCCATTTATTGGAGAGTAAGTATGGCATCCTGACATTGTAATTTATACAAATGACAAAAGCAATTCAATAAATGAATCATGCCACATTTTTCCGCAGAAGTGTATTTAAAAGACCATTGTGTCTGAGTGTTAAAAAATATTTCCTAATGTTGCATCACTGATCAACACTTAATAAATATTTCTGGCAGTACATGGTTCCTAAACATTTCATCTGCTTACCGCTCCTATTCAAAGTCAGTACAGAGGTGCCATCCACTACCTTGGTCCTCAGAAAGGGAACACCTGCGGTCGTTTATTGAAAATTTAATATTGTGTTTAAATGATTCCTTTTTAGACCTGAAAACTCTATATTTATGTGTCATAGTCAATTCCTTGGCCATCTCTGCAGCCTCCTAGTAGCTGGAAATATTTCTTTTTATATTTATGATGTTTCGTTTTGATAATACATCTAGCTCTCCAAATGCTACATGTTCTATGTTTGCCTTTTAAAACTCACACTTAACACTTTAATAGACTTCAATGAGGATTGTGCATTACCATCCAAACTAATTGTACTTACACACACACACACACACACAAGCAGAGAAAGCAAGCATGTATGAGGATTACAGGTTTGAGAGGAGATTCTCTCTACAAGAGCCATCCACACACCAAGTTGAGCAGGATGTGGGATTTTTGCCACTGACTTGTTTCCATTCACCATCTCTCTTGTGAACAGTAGAAGCACAATGGGCTGGTTGGTGGTCTGCGCCTGTCCAGTCATTGCTGGGAAACTGTCAGGATTACAATGTTCCTTTGTTGGCCGAATTGGCAGCGACGCCAAGGGCTGAATGGGCCACAGACACTGAACCAGTTATGACGATGCTTGGTGCTTTGCGACGGCGAGAAGCCCTCCCACCTCCCAGGCCGGCCACCCGGAGGCGACAGTATGGATGCAGAGATGTCTCAGTGCCCTTCCAAACATATGCTGCACCAAACTGGCTAATGGAAGACTTGGCGTCTTGATCATCCAAACACAGGAGAAGCTTCCAGGGCGCCAATATTTGCAGAAGAGAGCAAGCAGATTAAAGAAGATTGAAAGCACATCACAAGAATGCGCTCATGAAATGAGATGTGGACCTCACAGAAATTGTACCAGTTATGGGCTAAACCCATAAGAGGCGGAAGATTTTTTTTTAAGATAATAAATCAGACCTAGTCACAGGAAAAGGAGTTTCCTTGCTAACACGCATGGGAAAGAGGAGGCAGGCAGCCGAAAGTCTGACCTGATCCACGTAGGCTGTAATGAATTTTAAGTGTTTGCTTTATCATATTAAATCCCCTGTGCCCCTAAATGTTCAGATTTTGATGCAGCTGGTGGAGAGAAGGAAAATGAACATGTTGAAACAGGTATGACAAAGTGATCACTAAATCTTAAAGAAGTTATTTTCTCTGCCAACAGTTCTCTGCTAGCTGAGACTCCTGGTTTTATTTAAGAAATCCACTGCCTTTGAAAGCACACTGGGTCTTTTCTATAGCAAAAGATCAAATGATGTTAATCAGGCCGTGGGGTCTAATCCTTTAATGCAACTGTCTCTTTGCATTATAAACATACCAGCTATAGAAGCTGGAATGATTTTTATCTTAGCTTATTTTTTTTCCTTCTTCTGCCTCTGTCTTTAAATCTTGAGTCTGGCCAATCAGTACTAAACAGTTTCTTCTATTTCCTTTCCAACTCCTCCTGAAGGGACAATTTATTGCTCCATCTTTTAATGAAAAATTTCAAGAGACAGTACAACCACCTCTCCTACTCTCCTCTGTGGTCCTCATTCTTTCAGTTCACCATCTTAGGCTATGTTTTAGTGGAAAGCCACATCCCCAGGGAACTACCTGCAGCTAGCTCCTACTTCTTGCTCATTAACTGGGCTGCTCCTTAGCGATTGGTTGTGTCTGATGGATTCAATTCCAGTCACCACCGATGTGTTTATAGCTGCTATCAATCGCTTTTCTTAAGCCAATCTTTGCTTCAAGAATACAGCCATCATAACTTGAACTCTGTGGCACATTCAGCCTGAAGAAGACTATATTAAGGGTGGGTTTCTAGCAATTGTCTTTAGATATTCAACCTTCCATCCTGCTGAAGCAATAGTAAGCTTCCACAGGAATTTAGAGCCATCAAGGCTGTGATTAATAAATGGGATGTGGTGATAATGAGAGTAGCCTGGTCCAGGTTTACAAACCCTCTATGCTGAGATACTAGCATGCCTTCCATAGAATGCCACTGTCATAGATAGCCTGTAGCTGATTTCTTGGGAAAGTTATGATGAAAATCATTGAAAGAGCCATAGAATTGGACTAAAACTTCTACCAGATCAGCTAAAATACATGTATTCCCTTATGTTGTTTTTTTCCCCCTCACTTTCTGAGACCTAATCAGGCCTACCACATTGCAAATGCTCAAAAATTCCTGTTTATACATTTAAAAAATCAGTGAAGGTAATTTTCTAATAAGTGCACAGTCTTAGGTCGGCTACTGTGAAACAGTGAGTCCTCCATCTTTGGATGTGTTCAAGCATATATTCGGGACACTAGTGTAGAGACGACCAGATCTGATAGTTTGGCTCTAAGCTAATAGAAAATATCAGCACTTTGTATTTCACATTTTATATTCATATACAATGATCATTAATGCATCTGTTAAAAAAGGAAGCGATGAAAAAATAAAGTCTGAGGGCCTAGGTAGTACCACCACCGCCTCCCCCGTTTTTGCTTCAATGATCTTTTGGTCAAGCGCGCCACCTCTCGGCAGTACACCAAAGTTGCCTCCTGCTGTCCAAAGTTGAAGCCGAAGTCCACTGAAAAGTGGACAGCCCACATTACATTTCCTCTTTCCCCCATACTCAATTATCTTCTACAATACAGCAGGGAAGTGCTTGAGATTCTACAGGCTGACAGGAGTTTTTTATGCCAGCATTTTTTCACCACTTGTACTTAACCTACTTCTCCATATGTATCGTTCTTAAAAAAATGGATCCTCTACAGAACAAAATTAATCTTCACATTTTATCCAGGTTAAGAATGACTCTTTAGGAGTGGATGTATTACCTTACCTATAATCCTAGATACTTCAGCACGGAGAGGAATCTGGTTCAAATCTAGTCTGGCCAAAAAGTATGTGTGACCCCATCTCAACCAATAAGCTGTACTTGGTGGGGTATACCTATGGGCCTGGTTATTCAGGAGGCAGAGGTAGGAGGATCTGAGTCTTGGGTGGACCAGGTAAAATTTAACAGTTTATCCAAAAGAAACAATGAAAACAAAACCAAAGTGATTCCTCAGCATTTCCAAGATCTCAGTGGTCTTACAGGCCTGTGAGTTGGGTTCAGTTTCTAAGGTTTGGAGTGGTGCAGCCGCTTCATGTGATTCTCCTGTCTTTTTTTTTTCTATTTTTTTTCCTAATCTGGATTCCCAAAATTGTACAGCTTAAACCACACCCCAAATTGGGTGTTTATAAAAATGGATTGTGATATCTTCAGTGCATCTAAATAAAGGTTTTATTTTTTTCATCTTTGGTGTACTCGACTTATACTAATAAAGGGCAGATTTCTTGATTAATATGTAAAACCACCGATATTGTTTTTTTTTCGATAGAAATATAAATCACAACACATGTCCATTCTGGCGAAAAAGTTTAAAATAACTTTTGTCTTTGGTACAAGTGTTGAAGTGCATGCCTCACACTTGCTAGGCAGGTGTTCTACCACTTGGGCTATGCCTCCAGTTCTGGGTTGTGAACTCCCTGTCTTTTTTCATTGTACCCCAGTGTCAAGTTGCATGAAGGATCCAATGATCACAAATGCTTCGGTTCCTGTTGTGTCTCTATCATCTGCTTGTGGAGTATCCTTGGAAAAGTCTGCTTTCGATCTCAAAATCCCAGTTTCTTTGCTCTCAGAATAAATGAAAAGAAACTTTCTGGGTTTGGGGGCTTTGTAAGTCATGGTGGAAAGTCCCTAACACACCATGAACCTCACTATTAATTAGTATTGGTCTTCTCTGCTGATTATGAATACCGATACCTCCATGGCCTTCATCTCTATGGTTATCGCTAAGATTCTCAAAGGTGAAAGAAAAACACGGAAAAGGGAAATGGCAGAAAACACAGAGAATCATGGTGAGAGCACAAACATTTGCTAAACCCAAATCAGCAGACATAAAATGTTTCATATAATTCCATGCACCATAAATCACTAGCTTTTGCCGTGCTGATGAAAAAGAATACCAGTGAGACAGTGCCACCTAATGGTGGGATCCTGAAGCTGCTGTCAGTCACTCAGCATTGAGATGTGAGGCTTGCTGCTAAACTTCTAATTCTTTTCTGTCTTTATTGAAAAGTCCAGAGTCAAGAAGATATGCACAATGCTTCCAACTGTGTTACTTGTTCCCATATCTTTCTTTCTCAACCACCCTGAAGGGACTGTGGAAAACAGGCACAATATTTTCAGCAGTACTTTAGATGTTGTTTCTAACTTTTATGTTAATATTTCTCTGTGCATGCAAATTAGCTCATTAATGCCTAGTCAATAATTAACCCACATAGTAATTGTTTTAATTAGAGTGAAAAAGGATGGTGAGATTTTTTTTGACATCGGTAGATCAAAATGTGGCCTTGATCTCCATTCATCTGAAAAGAAGGCAGATAATGATTACAGTGCTAATAACAAAAGTTTTATCTGATGTGCATCCTTCAATTGCTTATTTCCAGCTGTTAAACTCAGTAGTGTTAAATGAGGAGCCCTAAATTGCTCCACAAGCAAACAGTTAAGGACTGAATCCTTAGAGGGGGAAAGAAGAAAGTGATCAGGTTTAATTATCCTTATATTATTCATTTAGAAGTAATAGACTTTATGAAGAGAAACTAAGCCCACCAAAAGGAAGAAAATTCAATAGCCCATGTATAGTGTAAAGTGTTGTATTGTGTTTTCCTCCACTGTAAGGAAATTACAGTTTAAAGGTTGAACTTTGAGAATGGAAAGGCACTATAAAACTTTGATGGTCCAACTCCTTCTTTTATAGATGACAAATAGCTCTGTGTTTATCTGCTTCATATTTTCGTGACTTTGTGTTGTAACCTTGATTGCCTTGTTTGGGTTTGTTACAGAGCAGTCTGGCTCTATTAACAAGTCAGGTTGTAAAACACCTTCCACAATATGTAGTTTACTGGGAGAGAGCAGGCCTGGAGAAATGAGAAACAGCTGAAGGCACATGCCAGACCATTGCTGCTCCTGTTTTAAAGGCAGTTTAAAAGTTCCAGTGAGGAAAAATGGGAAGGAACAGAAAGTTAGCAAGGAACAGATGTTGCTCAGCGGTGGCTCTGGTAGAGCTGGGTTCTAGCCTTGGGGAAAGGAAGGGCCATTCTGGCAGTTTGATTTTTTCCCCCTCTTACTCCAAACCTCCCTAACCTCACCTAGATGACAGAAGAGAAGAGTATCTAGGTCCAGAATACCTTTGCTTTATGGAAATACCATGGCCCTTGGACCAAGACATTTTTTCTTGTAGCAGTAATTGGTTGTGCTCAATAAATTAATATTTTTTAAGACACTGGTGGCTCAGACCTCCTTTTCTTTGGCCAACAAGATTCAGACCCTTTAATGGGTCTCCTTTCTACAGCGACCTCCACCATTTTCTCATCACTGTGTCTAAGGGAAAGTCATTCTAGTTTTGGGGGATAAAAGTTGGATCAAACATAGTGTACACTCAGAAATCTTTCCATCTACTTCCAAGAACTTAGAGCTATACTTCAATGGACAGTTGAGAATCCTGTGGCTTTGTGGTTTGCCATTCAGTTTTTTGATTTTCTAAGTCAAGTCAAACTTCGAAGTGATTGGAGCAGCCATCTAATTTGACTGAGTTAAAGATACCTTGAAGAATCTGGTAGATCCCTAAATAAAGATCATTGATGTGCTTTGCGTTGAAGAACATATCTTCTTCATATTTCTTTCCAAATTCTAAAATATCATTTCCTGGCAAGACAGTCACTTCAGATTCAACTGGTTCAGTTTGGTTTTGCTTAACAATTGGATATGTGTTGAGAAATGTCTTTGTGTTGTGTAGGCATCGTAGTGTATTTACACAGATCTCTCGAGTACAGGTCAATCACATGTTATGGACTCTTGATGTCCTCAAGAAATGTAGTGAAAACAAGGCGTGTGGGGATTCTGCTAGCACACCGTGGCATATGATTTACAGCGAACTTTTTTTTTTTCTTGTTTTGGTCTGTTGTGGGGCCTGAACTCTAGGCCTGGGCACTGTCCCTCAAAACTTTTTTTTTAACAAGTAGAAGAGTATACTCTAATGACACAAAGGGAAGCGTCCTACATATAGACCAATCAGCACTGTCATTTATTAAAACTGTCTGGTGTTTTTCCCTGCACAGAACTGCATAGGCTATGCTTTCCTGACCACCAGTTAGCATCACCACAAACAGGTAAATCATACATGGTGCTATGAAGTGATGATGACTATGAATTCACAAGTTGACAAAACATTTTAGTTCCAATAGCATCTGCTACAATTTTGGTATGAAATGTCCCCCCATTGGCTCATCCCAGCTGGCTATGCTATTGGTGAAGGTGGTATAAAGTAGGAGGTGTTGCCTAGTTGGAGGAAATAGGAAGCATGCCCTATAACGTCATATCTTGTCCTTTGTCCCCACGTCTTCCCACCTCTCTCTATATTGCTATTCAACTTCCCTTCAGGCCTACAGTAATGAGTCCAGTTGACCTTGACTGACCTTGGACTGAAGCCCTCTGAAACCATGAACCAAATAAATCTTTCCTCTCTTTAAATTTTTTCTCTCGGTTTTCGTTACAGTGAATTAAAAAAAAACACTAAAATTACAGGGGTCTACTATATGATGACATATATGATTATGTGTATTATTAACTGTCACTATGTCTGTATTTGCATAGTAGTGAACATATATAGGAACATTTTTAGTGTATGTGTGTGAGACAGAAAGGCAGTGAGAAAGAGAGACTTGGAACTTGAACTCAGGACTTCAAGGTCTTGCTCGACTTTGTCACTCACTGCTAGTGCTGTACCACTTAGGATGCCTCCACTTATGGTGTTTTGTTGCTGGTTAATTGATGATGTGTCCCTCAGATTTGGCTGGCTTTGAACTAGCATCCTCAAATGTCAGCCTCCTGAGTAGCTAGGCTAACAGTAATATATTCTAACATAACTTCTCTCTGTATGACATGATATCCCCACCCAGAAGATCTTAATATTTGCCCACGTTTTCTTACTTCAGCTTTGGAGAGTCCCAGGACAAATGTGGATACTGAAAAATACATAAGCCATAGTGATTGAAGGTTTGAATCCTGGCACAACAACTTAACAGGTAGTTGATGATGAGCAAGCTATTTAACCTTCCAATTGCAAAACGCAGATACTAATATTCTGAAATATTGCTCAGTGGCTAGCAAGGGTGAGACTTGCCTGCCTAGCAAGTGTGACACTCTGAGTCCACACTCTAGTTTTTTGTTGAGAAAACAAAACAGAAACGGTAATGAAATACAGGCAAAATGTCTGGCACAAATTTAGGGGTCCAACCAAAGACATCTTCATGCTCTCTTCCTGAACTCCTCTTTCTCACTTCTGCAACCCTCTGCCCCCAATGAGACGGCTCAACTCCTCTGTGCTCTAAGTGAGCAAAATTCTACAGTTGGTTGGTTCGTTTGGTTGATTTGATCTTTTTCACCTGGGCTTGATTGTTCATCTTTAGGGATGGAACTCAGTGTTTCTCACTAGCTCTGCAGTTTCTGCTGCTGCTCTTTCAACTGTGTCCCTGGGCCAAGCTCTGTTGGGACCACTTGCAATATTCACCACTTGCTCCCTTTGTAGTTTGCCATCCCCTCTTCCCCCCCCTCCCTTAATCATATGTCTACTCTTGGCTTATGTGCTAATGTGGTTTGCCTTTTGTGCCTTTCACAAGATATTGATGTGGTTCTATTCCTTCTGGATGCCAAACCAAGACAGCTCAGAGACAAGTGTCTTGTTGGGCTAAATTCAATTAGTACTTTTGCTTTGATGATTTAAATGTCCCAGACTCCAAACTTGCTCTCCCCTTCCCCCGTTTTTATATTTTAAACTTTTTTTAAATCCCATTTAATGTTCTAGATTCTACGCCACTCCAGATGGACAAAATTATTGCAATTTGTGCCTCTGGAATCAATAAGATTTTGCTGCAATATTTAGAAAGATAGCTTTTGCTGTACTTTACTTAGCCCTAACTGCCCTGGAATAATGACAATAACTAGCATCTCCTTTAGCTACATCTCCTTTAGCCAGCAAAGTGGATATATTCAACTTTGCTGAGGTTTTACAGGAGTAATGTTGTTTATTTAAAGTGAGAATGTCACTACTCAGGACAGGTGATTGTTTATTTCTTTGAGTTTGGGGATGGGCTGTGCTACCAGATCTGTGATACCTGAAGGCAGTTCCCAAGGACAATATTAGGCAATCAGGGTCCCTGAAATATTCACCCAGAACACCCTACCATACTCCCAATGATAAAAGCAAATAAATAGGCTCAAACCATAGATTTCATCACTCTAGAAGGAGAATGTCTAAGCCTAAACTCTAAATGAAATAGGTGAGAGGAGGAGAGTTAGAGACTCTTGAACAATTATGAAAAGCTGTCATTGTTGCCAATGTAAAACAAAAACAATTCTATTTGAAAGGGAATAAACATTCTGAGCAAATTATGCATGACCATGGACCAGGAACACAGATTCAAGTTACCTTGAATGACACCCCCATGCTGACAGAAGTTACATGAACTTTCATATAGGATGGATGTTATCTCTGCAGGGTGGGAAGAGCTCTTCAAAAGGCTCTTCATTGCATTTGATGGTTGGCTTTTGTGGTTGTTTTGAGACAGGGTTTCTCTATGCTGCCCAGACTGACCTCGAACTCATAACCCTCTTGTTTCAGCTTTCCAAATACTGGGATTATAGGAATGTGCTAGCACATCTGGGCTATTTTTTTTATTTTTATTTTTTGTCGGTCGTGGGGTTTGAACTCTGGGCCTGAGCGCTGTCCCTCAATTCTTCAGCTCAGGGCTAGCGCTCTACCACTTGAGCTACAGCACCACTTCCAGTTTTCTGGTAGTTTATTGGACATAAGAGTTTCACGGACTTTCCTGCCCGGGCTGGCTTTGAACTGCTATCCTCAGATGTCAGCCTCCTGAGTAGCTAGGACTACAGGCATGTGCCACTGGTGCCCAGCACCTGCGCTATTTTTATTACAGTCTTCAGGAGGGGAAATGTTTATCCATTTTAGCTATCCACTCCAACAGTTTTATCGAGTAGTCAAGAAGATTCAGATCACAGAAAAGTTGATGGTATATGACCCATATAACTTTCACCCTTTATTTACAATATTCCATCTTTCCGCAATCAAGATGATGTAAAGAGCTAAGGTTAGAGTACAGGTTATTGAGTATAGCTGTGGCTACCATGAGAACTTCAATTCACATCAGATCATCCATGGAGACATCTTGAGCTTTCGGGGGAAAATGATTATTTATTTATGTAATTAAAAATGTAGAAGCCAGGCACTGGTGGCTCACATCTATAAACCTAGCTACTCAGGAGACTGAGATCAGAGGATTATGGTTCAAAGCCAGCCTGGGCAGGGAAGTTTGTGAGACTCCTATCTCCATTTAACCACTAGAAAACTGGAAGAGGAGTTGTAATTCTAAGTGATAGAGTACTATCCTTGAGCAAAAGAACTCAGGGATAGTGTCCTGGCCTGGAGATCAAGCCCTACAACTGACAAAAGATAAAAACAAAAACATCAATGTCATGTTTACACATGCCCAACCCTTACACTGTAACTCAGAGAATCCAGGGGTTGCTCTACCCAAACTGTCCTTGTTGTGCTTAAGGGTACAATTGTACAATTGTACAAACAAGGTCTTCATTTCCACCTCCTTTTCTTGATTTTCTGGCTGCTCCTTTGAGCAAAAAGCCCTGTCTTGGCTCTTTAGTTAAAAGCTGCTGCACTCTTTGACTCTTTTTGCTGACTGTAATAATAATGCCACGTGCCAGAATGTGGCAAAACAGAACAAAGCCAATCTCTCCTACACTACTTAAAAAAGGAATGACCATCCAGCCTTTATTTCTTCCTTCAGTTTACTATAAACCCAACACCAGTTTTCTGCTGAATAACTCACCAATGATAAAAGAAATGTAATTTCAAACATTTTTTTTAAATGGTGTTTTAAGTCAGGATCTTACTAGGTAGCCTAGGTTGGCCTAGAACTTATGATCCTCCTGTTTTAGTCTCCAAAGTGCTGGAAGTCCAGGAGTATACTACCCATGCTAGGCTATTTTAAGTATTTTCTTTTTGAACACATAGGCTATACTTTCTTAATCTCAGCACTATTGATATTTTGCACCCAACAATTCTTGTTGAGGGTGACTCGTGTCACTTTATAGAATTTTCATAGCAGCTTTGGGCTTCTACTCACTAAATGAAGTCCCTCATCTCTGCTCCTGTGAAAATCAAAGAAGTCTTTAAACACTGCCAGCAAAATTGGTGCAAAATGACTGTAGATTGAGAACCAGTGATATGGACCAGATGCTATTCTTTTTAATCTAGAAAGAAACAGCATGCAAGAAGCAGGCAGTATTTATTTTTGTCTTGATTCCTAAATCATAGTCAATGAATGTGTTCTGGGATAATTTTCTCAGATCAATCTAAGGTCATCTATTCCTTAACTCCATTCTTCACATTAATAACAGGAATTAAAAAAACAAACTCACAAGGAATACAATTTCAGTGTACTTACAAATTCCCCTAAGTGCACACAGAACCTGAAGAAAGCATCCCTTTAAAAAGACTTCTAGGGCTGGGAAGATGGCTCAGTGGTAGAGCGCTTGCCTTGTATGCCAGAGGCCCTGGGTTCGAATCCTCAGCACCACATAAGCAAAATGAAAAAAGCTGGAAGTGGTGCTATGGCTCAAGTGGTAGAGCGCTAGCCTTGAGCTGAAGAACTGAGAGACAGCGCCCAGGCCCAGAGTTCAGGCTCCACAACCGGACCCCCCCCCCCAAAAAAAAGACTTCTAATTTCAAACATCTTTTCTTCCAATTGATTTCAAGCAATTGATGATTTCTTTGGCATTGCCTCTACCTTTCTTTGGAAATAAATTGAATCTTGTTTCTTTGGATGCTACCAGAAAGCTACTGTGAAGGTGAAAAATTATTGTACTGAGACTCTGGAGGCAGTGGCAAAAATCACAACCTCAGTGGGGTGCTGGTGTCTCAAGCCTGCAATCCTAGTTATTCAGGAGGTTGCGATCTGAAGATCAAGGTTCAAAGCCTGCTCAGGCAGATTTGAGAGTCCTTATCCCCATAAACTACCAACACAACTAGCAGTGGAGCTGTGGCTCAAATGGTAGAGCACCAGCCTTGAGCAAAAGCAGCTTAGAGACAGTCTAGCAGACCCTGAATTCAAGCCTCAAGACCAGCAAAAACAATAATAAACCAAAAAAAAAAAAAAAACCTTAAAACAAAAACAAAAAACCCACTAAAACACTACACCTCCCCAACACCAAATGCTGAAGAATCCTCTGCTAGGAAGGGCAGCCTCTGCCTCGGGGTCTTCCTTGATTCCATTAAAATCCAGTGGTCCTTCTGCTAAAATGCTTGTAGATTTCTTGCTTTGAGATAGAGTTCCTTACCTTCTTCCAGCGTCGCTGCTCCTACACATGGAAAGGCCCTGAGATCCTTCCTAAAAGGCAAACGTAGGATCTAATATAGCATGTTCCTTCTTCCAGCCCCTGAAACTCCGCTCCCCCCCCCCCCATACACACTATGGAACTGCAATCCCTGTAGAAGTTGGATAGAATCAGTTAAGTGCAGTTGTGGAGTTTTGTAATCACAGATCTGCCTAGTTTGTAAAGTCAAGCATTGTGTTTGTCAACCATAGTAAAACACAAGCCCCCAGTGGCAGTCACCCAGGCCTGGGCACTTGGACAGAAGGACTAGAGAAAACCAGCCTGAGGAAGTGAGGATGTTAGAAGTAGGGGGCGGGGATTTGAGAAGGAGAAGGAAGAAGGGAAGAGGGGAGGGAAGGAGGGAAGGAGTGGGTAGAGAAAGGAGGAGGGAGGGAAAGAGGGGGAGGTGAAAGAAGAGAAAGAGGGGGGGAAGAGCAGGGAGGGGGGAAGGAGAAGGAGAAGGAGGGTAGGGGGTGGAGGAACGAGAAGAGCAGGGGAGGGGAGAGAAGAGGGAAGGTGAAAGAGGAGGTAAGACAGGAAGGGGAGGGGAAAGAGGAGGGAGGGAAGGAGGGGGAGGGGAAGTAAAAAGGGAGCTGGGGGGAGGGGACAAAG